CGGGGGCTGCCTGCTGCTGGGGGCTTGGGCTCTGTTACATGCCGGTTTGGATGAACACCGGTGTGACTGGCACTTGAAAGGCAAACTGAAAACAAAAGGATGCACAACATCTGATCTAACCCGGTCATAACCTCGGGACTGCCTTTACGGCACTCAGGACTGGGCTCCATTTCCCAAAGGGCTAGATCTGGGCTGTGATCTCGACATGACATTGAAACCTGCTCAGTTCAGATGGGAAGCACCAGGGAAGCACCAGTCACTCAGTGCTCTCTATACTCAGCCCAATGCAAAACATTTCCTGAGAGTTAACATCAAGGAAAAAACCCAGCATGATAAGCTGTTCATGGTACTGGAATTCAGTTTTAGTCACAGACAAAAATCCAGTGCAATTATTCTTAGAAAGCTGTAAATACAGTGTGGCCCTGTTACCATATTGATTCCTTTTATACTGACATATAGGGCTCATGCTTATCTCTGTGGCCAGCATGCAAAGGGATTAAATTTAGAAAGTGCTCAGCTGTTTTCTTTCTCTAATGATAAAACACATGAAAATTTTGTTTACTGGCTTGTGAGTGGTGATAATTAAAGGGATGTTTTCAACCTGACATTTTGAAACTGAAAAATGTTGCAAACTTAACAGAGGGAGTCACAAGTGCTTCCAGCAGCAGTCAGGCACCAGGCTTTGACATGACTGTTTTAAAGCCACGTTAACAACCCCTCATTTTCCATTAAAACATCTGTTATAGGTTAAATGACTAAAAAAAACCCTATGAAGTATGTATGGTTGGTAGTATTAATTAAAATTTGTAAGATGCTGTAGTTATATTTTCATTTTAGAAGCCTGATTAACTTACCTGTAACTTCATTTGGCTCTGGGTAGAGTTTTCTATCCCACCTGTCTTGCTTTGGCTCTGCTGCTGTAGAAACTTCTAATAAAACAGTCACTTTCCAGAAATACTGCAAAGAAATATTAACTGTTACAATTAAAATGTTATGGTTGTTTTCATGTAAATTGTTTGCTCTTAATACTTTGAAGCAAAGACTTCAAACTAGGAAGGGTCTCAGTGGTGGCTGAACTGTGATAACAACAGACTTCACTGTTGTGATAAAAATAATTCCACTTGTGTTCATGGAAATATTTTTATTACTATGTGTGAAGTATTAAAAGAATACTGTGATTAGCATCTCAAAAACAGCAGAAAAAAAATGAGTGGGCTGATTTGGGACTAAAATAGTAATGGACTGTGCATTACCCTGTAAGGAAAAAGGAAAGTGTGCAGTAAGTATAAGATGTGCTGTCAGTCTCATGCCCTGAAAGGGGCAGAGGTTGTAAGGAGCACCTCGTATCTAATAAATACTAAATACTTACTTTAGTTTCAGACTTGTTTTGCAAGTGTGTTGTTTCACCTGCTGGAAAACACAGCATCCTGGCACGTGCTTATTCCAGATGCTTGTACATTAGAGACTGGGTGTAATGTTTGGGCAAGAGGTAGCACTGGCACTATTCTGACTATCAAGGATAATCCATAAAATAAATCCAAGTCCATATGCATTGAATATTATATCCATTTGTGCCTTCATTGTGTATTCCTAACAAGTAACCAACTGCAGTTCTCCTCATTTTCCATGGCATTACTAGTCTATTTCCATGGAAAATGTCATTTCTTCAGTGTTTGCAGCTTCAGGGGGAGAAATAAGGAAAGAAAATCCAAGTTTTGGTTGTAAATCAGCTCCTGAAAAAATGCTGTTCAAAATTCAGGTGTAAATTATGAATAACAGTGGGAAGAAAGGGTCCAGTTTTTGGAAGTAAACCCAAGTTCCTTACTTTACAAGGCAATGGGAAATGGAACAAGGGTATGAGAGAACATTTAAGTTTGTCAGTGCCATCTAAGTATCTTTAAAAACATTTCTTTTGCTGAATTTCAGTGGTGTAAACACTGTAAGAGCCTTCCCTGCAGAACCTTCTTGCTGCTCCTCCTCACAGCCCCTGCAGGGTTTACAGCACTACTTTCCCTGTGCTCGGAAGCCAGGAAAAAAACTTCCTGTATTGAGGATTTGTTCAGAAATTACTTACTAACATTTCAGACTCTAAAAGTTAGGGTCTGTAGGGTACACTAGTGTTTGCTGCCATCAGGGCATTACCCAAAAGTAGGTTATTATTTTTCAGCTCTAAGTTTAAGGACTACAGTGCTGTTATAGTTGTAACCTCTGTCAGGAGAATAAAAATTTATTCCCTTTCACTGGACAATATGCCGCAAGTAGAACAACATGGTAGGGATGAGAATAAACCAGCCACAGGTGACAGATTTAAGTTATTGCTACTTAATGATTTCATTGTGCAATGTAAGAACATATTTTGTTCATAATCAGGATGAGAGTTGTGTATGACCTAAACAGAAAAGGATTTAACATTTAAGAAATGTCATGTTTAAAGGGAGAAGGTTCCCCCAACCTCTGTGAGCAGCTGACCTATCCTGGCCAGTTTTCATTGCAAAGAGAAAGTCTTTGCAGCTTAGTAATCGCCGAAACACTTCTGCAAGGGAGCAGCTTCTAATAACATCGTTCAAACAAAACACGGTGCAGAACTGGTCTAAACTGTTGCAATGACAGCATGCAAATCATGAAGTTTACAATATTTTGGCAACTCTCCATAGACTAGAAAGGGCAGGTTGTCAGTGACCCCAGGTGTTGTACAGCCATTCCCTACCTTGCCCTTACTGCTCTCCTGAAACAACTCTGCTGGTTTAGCTTTGCAACAGGGAGGAGCCATCAGCTGTGGCCAGATGCGTCAGATGATATAACAAAGTTGTTTCACATGTAGCTGTCAGAGACCAAAGGAAAGGCTGTCTGGCTCAAAACAACTAGGTGAGGGAACAGGGCGAGCTCTGCATATGTGAGGTGGCACAGGTCCCCCTCATCCCCTTGAGTCTTCTCATGTGTATTTAATATGTCACGGCCTGTCCACGCTGAAAGGGTGTCGGTGATCACATGGCTCTGATGTGAGCCCTGAAATGTGTGCTAGGAGCACTGTGGCTCTGCATAAAGCACAGGTACAAGCCATGGTTTCACACTGGGGATGGGCCTTGGTGGAATGTGTGGCACTCCCGCTGCCAAGACCATGCTGGGTCCACGGGTGGTGACTGTCTTATTCCACCCGGCTAACCCGAAGTCAAAATTATTTCTTGTTAAACCTCCTGAGAATTTTGTTACTTCTCCTGCTCACTGCCCAGACTAATTCAAAATTACCTTCCTCTAAACCCACCGAGCAGATTGGGGCAGAACACTAGCACCCAAGTCAGGGCGGCACGTATCTTCAGTCAGCATGGCCAGATGTGCAGGGAGAGAGCTAACAACCTTGTTTAGCAGGGCGAAACAAGCAGGGACAGTTCCCAGAAATCTGTCAACAGTAAACTTGAGCTCATCTCTGTTGTTCTGAGAACAGGCTGGCCACAGACCTTCAAACGAAATGAAAGACAGTAGTTACAGAAACAACAACTGTCCTGTTGTATCCGTAGTACAAAAATTACCTCTCTATTCATTCCCAACCTGATTAAACTGCAGTCATTTTTTTCCTGTTTTTTCCTGCCGTTTTTCTCTTAGACTTCCTTTCCAGAATGGCAAGTCCTGCCTCAAAAAGTCTGATGGAGCTGTGCACCCTTCTGCATCTCTCTTAAAATGCACCTTTTCATGGACATCCACAAAGCACCTGGCAGTAGCCAGGCAGATGCTGTGTGGTCTCATTTACAGACTACATTACAAATTTAAAAAACAAACCACTGAACAAACCAAATCCCCAGTATCCCCTAATATGACACTGTTCCTCCACCTTTTTTTGTTGCATGTCCTGTAAGAGTTTTGGAGGACGGGCTGACCCAAGGCTTGCTGAAGCTGATAGGAAGCTTCCTATCCACTTAGGCAAGTTTCAGAAATGGTCCTTATAATGTCTGACCCTCCAGCCACAAGGGCTGAGACTAGCTACAAGAGGCTAGAAAACCTAAAAGAAAACAAAAACCACCAGAATTGAGGCAAATGCAGAGCTGGTTTCTTGTACGCACTTTTCTCAAGAAGCATGTGTCGCTTCACTGGGGAAAATCTTCCCAGGCCAGTGCCCAGCTGTCTGCAAACCCAAGGGGTTTTGCTGAAGAGAAATACAACCTACTCTTTTATGTACATAGCCTGGCATCAACTACAAAAAAACAAAAAAAGAAGATGCTCAGGTACTGACAAGGTGGTGCTAGTATCAATTTTAGTATCAATTTTATGTTTCAGCAGGTGCAGAGGACACTGTGTCTTATGATTTCTTTTTCCCTTTGAAAATGACAGATGATCAACCTCCCCTTAGGCTTCCAAGTAATTGTGGATTACAACAGTCTTGTGAATGGAAAGCAGTTACCCTGCAGTTTCTTAACATAATTTTTACCTTGAATGAGATTTCTTCGGCACAGTGGGAAGACTAGAAATAACACTTTTGCAAGATGGGTTTATATAGCCTCTATGTATGCTGTATATAATATAAGATAAATTAATTTAAAGCTCAGTGTTCTGTCAAGATAAAGTGGATATTTTCATGCCATGAACATAGTTTGATTCCTGTTCTTACCGGCATGTAATTACAATCTAATTCCTGAGACTGCATGTTTTCTTCTCTCCCCATGCAGAAACTACTTCCTTGAAAGAAGACATTTTTTCTTCTTCCAGGATGTTACCAGCAGATAACAGACTTAAAAACTTACAGATCTACAAACTTCTTCAGTGTGTTCACCAGAAAGACAAGGAGCAAATTGAAAAACTGGTCCAGACTGGACTTCCAAATCTCATTAATGTCACGGAGCCTACGGATGGATACAGCGCCCTTCATTTGGCCACCATTAAAAATGACATTGGCATGTGCAGGTTCTTGCTGGAACAGGGAGCTCATCCCGATGTCCAAGACAAAATGGGATGCACTCCAGCAATGAAGGCAGCTGAGCTAGGCCATGAGTTGGTTTTGGATTTATTAGTAAAAGCTAAAGCAGACATGACCGTTGTGGATAATGAAGGGAAAGGTGAGTAAGAGGGAACCTTATCAGACCAGAAATACCATAAAACAATCCCCTAACTGTGTTACACAGTGGCTACGTACGTTGTGTCTGTCGCACCTGTAGAGAGGTACTGTGGTTGAGGGTAATCCTTCCAGCCCAACGGAAGCTATTTGCCATATCACCTTTGGTAAAAATGGAAATAATTCTCCCTGAACAGTCTAGGCCTTTGCTGTGGTTTAACCCCAGCTAGCAACCAAGAACTATCAGCTGCTCACACATTCCCCACACCAATGGGATGGAGAGAGAATTGGGAGGGTAAAAGCTAGAAAAACTAATGGGTTGAGATAAAGACAGGTTAATAGAGAAACCAAAAGCCACATACACGGGCAAAGCAAAACAAGGAATTAATTCCTTGCTTCCCACAGGCAGGAGGTGTTCAGCCATCTCCAGGAGAACAGGGTCCATCACGCATAACAGTTCCTTGGGAAGACAAACTCCATCACTCCAGACGTCCCCCCTTCCTCCTTCTTCCCTCCATTTTATACACTGAGCATGAAGTTATATGGTATGGAATATCCCTTTGGTCAGTTTGGGTCACCTGTCCCAGCTGTGTCTCCTCCCCATCTCCCATGCACCCCCAACTTCCTTGCCAGCGTGGCAGTACGAGAAGCAGAAAAGGCCTTGGCTCTGTGTAAGCTCTGCTCAGCAATAATATAAGCATCTCTCCATTATCAACCCTGTGTTCTACAGAAATCCTAAACATAGCCTCATACTAGCCACTGCGAAGAAAGTGAACTCTACTTCAGTCCAAACCAGCACAAGTTTTATAGGAATTTGCAGGAATTATAGGTCTCCTCAGCACATAGCTGAGAGATGACTTGTGATTGAATCATGTTCCTCCCTGTCCCATATTAAATTCTGATTTACTCCTCAAATTCAAAGACCCTAAACTAGAAGTCTTTGCATGTATGTACCCTAAGAGAAGTTAAGGGGTCTCTGTTGAAGACTGTCTGTTCAGCTGTGAAGCTCACAGCCTCAGTAATTTAACAATTTCCAGTTGCACCCTAATCCCTGCTGTTTTCCTTTGCAGGTGTTTTGTTTTACTGCATTTCACCTACAAGTCGGCACTATCGCTGCGCGCAGATTGCCTTGGAATATGGTGCAGATACTGGCAACTGCACTACTGCTGGGAAGCCTCTGCTGCTACAAGCCTGTGAGGAAGCTCATAATGTAAAGGAAATGTGTCTGACTTTCTTGGAGAGAGGAGCAAATCCCACTGCAAGAGACCCTGTATGAGTATTTCTGTAACTAAGAACATATAGAGGTGTATAAAATAATTACCATATGACTAGAGTATATGACCTCAAATCCTCACATTAAAATAACTAGGCAGTGAGATGTGCTTACCTCTGTGGCCATGCCTATTTTCCTCTTCTGTATCACCTTTTTCTGCAAGAGAGGGATATAAGTCTTCTGCTTGATCCACATATTTTGATTTATATTTTTGTAGATTAGAGTGCCAATATTTCACAAAAAGAAAGTGTAACTGGGCCAGCTCTTAAGAGCTGCAGTTCACTGTGCTTCAGTGGAGCAGTGCTGATTTATACTTTGCCCTGATGTGCCCTTAGGTTTTCAGAGTTGAAATAATATTCACTAAAAGGTGAGTCCATCAGGAAAAACCTGATGAGGAATCAAGGCAGGGATGAGACATGAGAAACTTCTCTCTTGTTTGCTTCCTTAATTTAACAAATACCTGAGGGACTGAAGCTCTGTGCTTTTGTAAGTCCAGAAGCTCAAACTTTCCCTTAAAGCTGTCCACGGCTTTTGCATTGGTCCTAGTTTTGCAGTATCTTTCCTGGCTTGTAGCTATAGCAAAACCAATACGTGAACATCCTTATCTCAACCTCTCGTACATATCTCTACTCAGATACTCTGTACCCAAAATATGAGAAACATTCACTTGTTTTGTAGTATGATGGGCACATTCCTGGTCATATTGGAATGGTTTGCTAGGCCAAGAAAGATAGATATCAGGGAAGAATGTATGGTTCAGTGGAACAATATCCACGACTCACTGCTCTCCTTGTCCCTCTGCAGAGTGGCAAGTCAGATATTCAAAGTGTTGCTATGGGCCAACATGCTAATAGCAGGCAATCCCTGATCCAAGATGTGCTCTGTTCTTGGGAAGGTCAACAGATCTGCCAAAGTCAGCCATTATAAAGAAAATAAGTAGTGCTAATCACATATGCTATTGTCCAGAAAAGACATAGCATTAATGCATTAGACTGTGAACTTTTCCACACAGAATAATAGTGAAATTCCCCAGTTGCTCTGCCTTCCCCATACCACTGCTCCAGCCATACCTCTTTATTTCATAAGACAAAGTGGTGTTTTGTGTTAAATTTTGTAAATGTGCATGAGAGTACGCACACAGAATAAAGGATTCCTTAACTAAGGAATTGATTTTCATGGACACTATTCAAGGGACTCAAGCTACCTGGGATTTGACTACTCCCACTTTAACACCATTATGACTCGATCCTTAAAGTTTACCTGCAAGTCTTTGAAACTATTAGGCTTGTCTCCCTTTTCCAGTAATAGCTAAAAGGAGATTTGCAGTTTTATGCCACCTTGTAACAATCAGATCACATTGTTCCAGCCTGAATTAGCTTATGAAACAAATTCTGAATTGTTTTCTTGCTGCCTTGCAGGCCACAGGTCGCACAGCCTTAATGGAAGCTGCAAGAGAAGGTGTTCCTGAGGTGGTGCGTGGTCTGCTCGAGAGAGGAGCTGATGTGAACCTGTTTGACAATGAAAGACAAAGTGCTGCACATTTCGCAGCCAAAGGAGGTTTTTTTGAGGTATTATCAGCTGTGGTGTTGAAGCATTGCTGCAAAACCAAACCTGGGTGGTTTTTTGTTTGTGGGGTTTGGGTTTTGGTGGATTTTTTTATTGCTTTGATTCAAAGAAATCAATCCAACAGCATGATACTGTTAAGCAAGGATTCCTTTTATGACGGCACTAGGTGCATGGAGGATCCTCCAAATAACACGCACACCCCTGATCCAAACAGGACAGGTTTTATTTCTACAAAGCATGCATATTCATTAGATTTCCAAGAGCTCATGCATATATGCTAATTATTTCCTGAAAGTCATTATAATATCCCCACCCTTCTTGTACTTGTGCAGTCAATTGAGGCCGTGGTCGTTGAGGGTCTTCTGTGACCCCTGATGGTTGTTCCATCACTTGTCCTCTGCTTGGCAGATGTGTACTGCTTCTTGTCACCTTTCCAACTCCCATGGCTAGCATCTTAATCAGTCTCCTTGTGCTTATCTTCTTACTCTTACAGAGACAATGAAGGTCTCGGTAAATCTTACTTGTGTTAACAAGGCAAATTACTGCAGGCATAGCTCACAGCTCATCAAGCATAACAAGCAGAAAGGCATGGCTTCTACTATGGTTAACATCAGCTACAACTCTGGCTAACATCAGCTACCATGACTATGACTATGATTACTGTTATATAGTTTATACCTCAGTTCCTGTCGTGGTTTAACCCCAGCAGCAGCCAAGAACCACGCAGCCACTCACACACTCCCCCACCCATGGGATGGGGGAGCAAATCAGAAGGGGAGTTGAGATAAAGACAGTTTAATAGAGAAAGCAAAAGCTGCAGACACAAGCAAAGCAAACAAGGAATTAATTCACTGCTTCCCAAAGACAGGAGGTGTTCAGCCATCTCCAGGAGAGCAGGGCCCATCACGCGTAACGGTTCCTTGGGAAGACAAACACATCGCTCCAGATGTCCCCCCTTCCTCCTTCTTCCTCCCACCTTATATACTGAGCATGATGTCCTATGGTATGGAATATCCCTTTGGTCAGTTTGGGTCACCTGTCCCAGCTCTGTCTCCTCCCAATCTCCCATGCATCCCCAACTTCCTTGCCAGCCTGGCAGTACAGAAAGCAGCGAAGGCCTTGACTCTCTGTAAGCTCTGCTCAGCAATAACAAAAACATCTCTGCACTATCAACTCTATGTTCTGCACAAAACCCAAACATAGCCTCATACTAGCCACTGTGAAGAAAGCTAACTCTACTCCATCTCAAACCAGCACAGTTCCTTATTCAGTTCCTTCATCCAAACATAATTTGTTTATATCCTTTCAGGGTTTGTTTTGGTTTTTTTTTAGTCAAGTATGATCAAAGCATAATAATCAGCAATCAAAAGCACCTTCTTTTTAAGTATCAAAGGGAATCCAGCAGTGATAGATAGGCCAGACAGTGGCCTACAGTGAACTGGCAGGAATGAAAATTGTCCTCTGTGTCTACTTGTGCACAAGGTTTCTGTTTCGCCAACTAAATAAGTATAATACTATAGAAAACATGACTGCTATGTGTGCATTGATCAGCTGGGCAGGGGAGAGAACTTCACTATATAAACTGGGAATATATGATACTGCATTAATTTTTAAATTGATTTCACATTTTCTCATCTTAAGAAACAGACAAGATTTTTGATGGCACTGTCTTTGTTTTTCTAGATTCTGAGGATTATTTCAGCTTATAGTGGAGACTTGAGCCTGATCGCTATGAATGGTAACACACCACTTCATTATGCTGCAGAGGGAGGATTTGCAAATTGCTGCAAGTTTATAGGACAAAGAGGTACATTAAAAATAAGTTACTTTGCAACTATCATCTACATGCCACTTCTGTGCTAAAGGAAAGATTTCATTTGGGCATCTCTGAAGGATGTGACTCTCAGGTACCACATGGAAAATGTAGTTCTCATTAAGAAGTGCCTAACAGAGGCTCTTATGACTTTTTTCCTGCTCGTGTGGCTGAGAAAACATTTCTCAAAGAAAGCAGCAGAAACATCAGGGGTTTGTATAATTTAGTATTGGACAGTGTTAAGTGGTTCTGGTTTTAGTTATTTTATTGCATTGAAATTTCCAATAGAAAATGAACTTTTGGTTTTCTCACAGTTAAAAAAAAATCTCTGTGTATCACAAGGAACATACTCCAAAGCAGCTGTGATCCTTTTCAGAATCCTTTACTCAAATGATCATAGCCCTTCAAACTTTGATTCAAGAGGACCATGCAAAATCCCACGTTCTGTTCTTGTGATTCAAACATTTAACTAGTCATCTATTGCCAAATTGTAATGTTCAAGTATAGAACACTGAGTGCTATTTTAATCTTAGTTTGTTTCTTCTTGACCTTTTTCACCACTGTCCTGGATCCAGCCAGGGCAGGGTTAGCTTTTGCAGCAGCCAGGAAAGGCACACTAGGACGTTGGGGTTATTCTCTACCATCTCACACCATGTGGAGGGCACAGAGGGGCCAGGAGTACCCTTTGTTCCGGCTACAGTTCGGTCGGGGTGTAGTGTGTGTGTTGGGGCAGTGCTGGGTTATGTGTGGTGACCTGTCTTGTACACTCTGTTATTAATACAGTTGTCACTGTTCACATTTCTTATTTCATTGCTGTTTCTTAGTAAATTGTTCTTATCTCAACCCATGATCTTTACCTTTTGTGCCTCCAATTCCCTCCATCCCACCAGAGAGGGAATGGGTGGGGGAGTAAGCGAGTGGCACATGGTCTGGGGGGTTTCAGTGAAAACAGTAAATCTGGAAATACCACTCCTAAACCTCAACAGCCTAATTTTATCCTCCCCTTATTCTATATCATCTGTGTCATGCCCAGATCCTACACCTTCCCAATGCATATACATAGACATATACATATATTATAATAGAATTTCTATAAGATTAATGTTATGTATTATA